GCGCCAGTCGCACTCGGGTCGTGCCAGCCGCACGCCCAGTGCCCAGTCAACCCGGGTACGCGCCAGTTCCCGCGTCCCTCGTGCTCGACCGTGCCCAGCAGCACGCCAGCACACCCAGTGACTCTCGGTCGTGCCCAGCCGCACCTAGTGGCACCAGTCGTGCCAGGGCCCGTGCCAGCCGCACAGCCCGCGCCCAACAGCGCCTAGTACCGAGGCCCGGTCGCACCCAGCTCGTGCCCAGCGCCGTGCCATGGCCCCAGCAGGCCCGGCACGGGACCGAGCCCGGCCAGCCCGAGCAGCCCGTGACCACCCGGTCCAGTGTGAACCGGTGGTCTAACTTGGTCCGGTCCAGCCCGACCCGGTTCAGCCAGTTAGCGAACCGGCCGGTTTAGCCGGCGGTTCGAGTCCGTTTTGGTTCGAGCATTTCAGTCCGAGTCTTATTCCGAAATCTAAGTATTTTTCCAAGCCAAACCAGATCAGTTAAGCATATCAGTATAATTTTCGGACTTAGAATTATTTCAATGAACCCTTAGAGCGTTCCTTTATATCCAGATGAGTAATCTGATAGAGTAGAGCATCCTAGCATATTATTGAGCATATGACGGGCATAGTACTTAGTATATTTTGTTTGCTTATATTTTTATGTAGCTTAAGGAGTCAGCTACCAGCACAGCCGCACTTACTCGTTTTCAAAACCGATCAGGTGGGGACCCAGTCTGGGTTATACATTGAGTTTAATAGTCGATATCATGTTCAGGTATGTAAATGAGTTTTATCCACTTTGGGTTAAGGCCAAGTTTGCCTTCCCTAAGTTCTGGTGGTGGCCCAGTTTGCCCTAGTTATACCATCAGAGTGTGCACACGGTTACCGGCCAGAGAGTTCCGGGAGTTACCGGCCAGAGAGTTCCGGGAGTTTCAGTTTACTTATATATACCAGTCTGTGATATCATCATTAATATTGTTGTTTACTTTCGAATGGGTTTTTATGGAGTACAGGTGGACCGTACTCACCCCCACTTTATATTTTCAGATGACAGGGTCGGCGGGCCGGCGTGAGTCGAGATGTGGTGGTGGTGGTCGTGAGTTCCACACTAAAGCTGTTCCCGGGACATTTGTTTAAACTGTTTTGTAAACTATTATAACCACATATTTCATACTTCCGCTATGTTTGCGTTTATTTTCGAACATGCATGACGTTATTTTCAGACTTAAATAGTTTTACCCAGTTCGCCAGTACGAACGGGTCCAGACTAATATGCATGATTCGTTAAAATATAAACCTGATTTTTTAAAGTCTAAACCAGTCGTTAGACCTAGGTTAAAGAAACGGGTTTTTATGCAGAAAAGTCCTTAGCAGCATCCCGAGATAGTTTGCAAATGATTTCCGAAAACTTATAAGCGTTTTCGAGAGAGTTAAAATTTGCAAAAAATTGGCCCTAAGTAGCGGGGTGTTGCATAAAATTCCTTACCAAACATAAGCCACGAATTTGAAATTTGAAATGCCAAAGAGGTGCCAAAATCCAAAGAGAAGGGCCAAAAAATTGGAACATAAAAGGGATGGGTTTTCTACAGTATTTCGGGCCGGTTTATCAACAAGAAGGGGCCGAAACTTGGACATTTGAGGGAAACCTCTAAGGTCCGGATATACTACACCAAAAAAAGGGTCGAAACGGACAGAAAATAATTATACACGATAGAACGATGAATTTCCAAACACTTTGACGAGCAAAATAGAAACAAAGGACGACGGCGAACTATTCACGATTGACGAGAAATAATATACTTAAACGGTGAAGCCAACCAATTAATCGAAATAAACACCATCGAAGGCTAAAGAATCGGAATTAATTTAAGTAGACGATCATGTCTACAAAATCGATCGACACAATAGATCATCTAGACAAGGATATCTAAAAATAATTCACCAGAGTTAAAATGAGGATTTATCCCGTGCAAAAATACCTAAAATATAAACGAGGCAACAAGAGGCTTTCAGGCTTGCTTCGGACCTCAGCAACTAAAATACGCAAACTCGACTAAAATGAAATGGGGCGCTACATCAGTACTATCAGCTTTGCCAGTTTTAGTTCAGACGATAAAGGTGATCGTCTATCTTCCTTAGGAAGCTTTCGAGGTTGATCGTTAGGCTGATTGGGTGATCGAAAACCATAATCCCGTTTGTTTGGATTGCCCACGCTACGAATTCTGTGTTTTGGGCTTGTCCTTCTTATGGACTTCAATTTTCACCTAGCCATGCTTTCTTTTGATCGTATATTTTTGGGATGTTACATAGAGCCCACAGGTCCAGGTGGGGAGTGATGGTTGAACTGCCTGAAAAGCTAGGAGCTCTCGGTCTCTTCCCGGGTCTCTCTTACAAAGGTGTTTCTCCAATGAGTTCACTTCCGTGACAACTAATTTAAGGTCTCTCTTAAGTTGTACTTAGCTCCTAGGTTCAACTTTGCACGAGGGAACTTGAAGAGAATAGCCCGTGGCTCGGTGTGGTCGTGTGGCTCGTGATTAGGGCTCGAAAAAAAGCTTATCGGCCTATGACCGAATTTTTACTGAGTTTGTATGAAATTTTTTAATTGCTGGATGTCCTCTGGTCCTTCTTCATACATGGGGTTATAAGGCTGAAGATAGCCCCATCAATTTGCCTTAAGATAATGAAATTTGGAGTTTTCTTCCTCATCCCATGCCTTTCTCTTGGTTGTTGTGCCATGGAAGGATGGGGAGTCGGTTTATCGATCTATTATCTGAATATAACTCGAGTCAAAACTCCATTTTGACCAAAAAAAGGGCTAGAAACTCGTTGGGCCCTGATTGTGCGTTGGGTCTTGCGCTGGGCTGCGCTGGTAAGCCTATTGTTGTGCTGCGCTGTGGGCTGCGCGCGGGGGTGCCGCATACACTATGGACCGCGCGCTGAAGTAGAGTGCAAAGGGCGTTGGGCCGGTGGTTGAGGCCTACTAACCAACTTCAGGTATTGGACCCACGTTTCATAATATTTTGGGTCGAGTGAGGTGCGAGCGCGACATGGGCTGCTTGTGGCTGCTGGGCTGCATGAGTAGCTAGCACGCTTGGGCTATGCACGACTTCTGGGCCGCGTGGGACTTCTCAGGCCACTCGTGCAGGATTTTGTTTGCGAAAATGGTTTGGGCTAAGTGGGAATTTTCATTGGGCCGCGTTGGTTGTGCTAGCGTACTTGGGCTGCACACTGGTGCTTGGCCTTGGCTTGGGCCTAGTTCGATTCGGCTCGGGTCAAGACTCGATTTTCTATATGTTCTCCAATACAATTGGACTCGATCCTCATCGTGACTCCTACTAACTATTCTTGGCTTATGAAAGTAAATGAACCGAGACTTTATCTAAATATGTTCTGCTTTGATATAAAATCTCATCCGGATATTTCTATGTTTAAACTTGAACTTGAAACGCCAGACTTGAATAACTGACACTCGGAAGTTAAACTCTAGCATTTATTAATAAAGATTAACTTACACTCAACAGCTAAAATCGTTCTGTTTATTAACAAGATACTGGGGTATTACAATTTACACCCCATATATGGTCCAACTGTAGGCCAAGCCTACTTAGCTCATATATGAATAATACAGTCATTCCACTAAAGTAGTATTATTGAAGCTTTCAGTGTAACTACCAAATACGATTTGAGCTCCGACTATAATTACTCGAATTATCTCCCCATGTTTAAGATATAATATCCATCAATTAATTTAACTACTGACAATCAAAGTAAAGCTAACAACACTCAAATCATTATTATCATGTCGAACTTAATCCACCTGCAGGGTTTAACATAATAATCTTCATGAGCTCACTTCGGGGACATCATCAAACTGAGCCATGTGACCGTAAATATTTTAACAGCATACCATGCATGCAAAATTACTACCCAACTCAACCGGTTATTGATCCAGACAGAATGAACCTAACCGTGAAGAATCAAAGTAATAACTACTACATACATGTGTCTATTCAATACACAAATGTAGTAATTAACCGAGACTTAGTTTGTTTACGACTATCAGTATAAAACGAACTGCTCTACTTTGGGATCTATTAAATACACAAATGTACTAGTGCAACTAATCAGTCAAGACCAACTGTACCGTTGCCACTACAACTATTCTGATGGCTTTTTCAATAGTCATTTAGGTTGTGAGCCATTTTTTTTATGTTTCAAAAGTTATTGATAAATTATCTTCCGTCTATCCGTGATAAACCATTTATTTAAATGTAAATCAACAGAACATAGAACTTGTTTAATCAAACATTATTTCTCATTCAACAGAAATAGTGTAAATAACATCTAAAGCAAAACTTTCAGTATATACACTAACAAGGATGTCTCCCAAGATGCCCTAAGATAGAGAACATAAAGGCATTTCCTTATGCATTAGCAGTAAGAAGCCTCATGTATGCGATGTTGGGTACCGAGGCTTAGTTTGTTTACGACTATCAGTATAAAACGAACTGCTCCACTTTGGGATCTATTAAATACACAAATGTACTAGTGCAACTAATCAGTCAAGACCAACTGCACCGTTGCCACTACAACTATTCTGATTGCTTTTTCAATAGTCATTTAGGTTGTGAACCAATTTTTTTTATGTTTCAAAAGTTATTGATAAATAATCTTCCGTCTATCCGTGATAAACCATTTATTTAAGTGTAAATCAACCGAACATAGAACTTGTTTAATCAAACATTATTTCTCATTCAATAGAAATAGTGTAAATAACATCTAAAGCAAAGCTTTCAGTATATACACTAACAAGGATGTCTCCCAAGATGCCCTAAGATAGAGAACATAAAGGCATTTCCTTATGCATTAGCAGTAAGAAGCCTCATGTATGCGATGTTGTGTACATGGCCAAATATCTGTTATGCCATGGGCATGGTAGCCTGATATCAAAGTAATCCAGGACTGGAACATTAGGTTGCGGTAAAGCATATTCTCAAGTACCTGAAAAGGAATACGGAGTATATGTTAGTTTACAGAGAAAACATTTGCTCCCATTAGTATATATTGATTCTGACTTCTAATCTGATCGGGATGAAAGTAAATCCACCTCAGGGTTTATTTTTACTCTAGGAGAAAAAGCTTTAGTTTGGCGGAGTGTTAAGCAGAAATATGTGGCAGACTCCACCATGAAACTCGAGTACGTCGTGGCCTTAGCGGAAGCGAAAGAAGCGGTTTATCTCAAGAACTTCCTGTTATACCTTAATGTAGTACCACGTTTGGCCACTGTAATCACGGTTTTGTGTGACAAAAGTGAAGCAATAGCAAACTTGAAGAAGCCACGTACTCATAGGACGAGTAAACACATAGAACAAAAGTACCACCTGATACGATATAACGTAGGAAGAGAGGAGGTCGTTATTGCAAATATTTCGTCTGAGGACAACCTTGCTGATTCTTTGACGAAAAGCCTCCCGGAGAGGGTCTTCGAGAGGCACGTGGAAAAAATGGGGATTCAAGTGCATGGTGATTAGTTAGACTGTTCTTTGAGAATTAGGATTGAGAGAATGTATACTTATTATAGTCGAAATATTCATAAAGTATAAGTGGGAGATTGATAGTTATTTTGTAAAAGCTTGGTATTCAGTTTCTGACAATACCATTTTGAATAAAGATCATGTTTTAGTCAAGTGCATATTTGCATTTTTATTTATTTATACGAACATAGTTCCTTTATTTTACATTGTAGATAATTTGGTTCGATGTGTCGAACAAAAAGATCATATTATCAGTGTCTTGTAAAATATAAATTACTTGTTCACAACCCAGATGGAAATAAACTAACTGTCGTGAAAGGCGGTAGTGTGATTTTGAATCAGTTGATCTTTGATTAATGAATTACACTAGTACATCTCGAATATATTGGACGGACCTAAGGAGGATAATTTTATTTTGTGATGACCAAGTAAATAATCTAGACCTCAGCAATAGTTGCATTCTCTTAACACGTAAGAGTATATTACCTGACATTTGTATTTGGAACCTGCTTATTTGATTTACCAATGGTGAGGATAATTCCGGTAGGCCGACAAACTCCGTATTTTGGTAAGTAAAGGCCGAGTACATGATGTGTTATAGAGATTACTTAAGGTAACTGTTTCCCAGTTTGCAAGGTTAATGACGTCCCCAAAATGAGCTCAGCAAGGTCTGTTATGCTAAGTCCTGCAAGCAGAATTTGTTTTCGACATAATAAGAATGAATTGAGTGGTACTAGTTTGGGATGTAGGTGTTATTTAATCAAATTGTCAGTTACTAAATTAATCAACGGGCGTTAGATCTTAAACATGAGGAGGTAATTTGAGCAATTAACCGAGTTATTTGTAATTTGGGAGCTAAATGCAGAGTTTAATAATATTATTATAGTGACGTTTAATATTATTCGAGAATGAGTGGAGTGGGCATAGCCCACAATTAGGCTCGTACTTGGGGAGCCCATATTTAGCACCTCCTTAGGGTCATTATTGTAGTCTATAAATACATTAAGACCTTAGCCTCTTCACAACACATATACATGCTGCCTCTTTCGGTTTCTTGATAAATAATTGGCCAAAAACCGAGGCAAGAGAAAGAGAGAAAAACACGATATTTTGTGTGAGGTTTAGGAATCCGATAAGCCGTCCACCCCGGTGAATCAACATAGATGCAACGTCATAGAATAGCAATCTGAGGGAAATATATTTTGCTATCCCAACGAAAATATATACAGCCCCACAAGCTCATCACAGGCGATCAACCACCTCCACCAGTGATCACCACCACCGGCGGACGAGGTGAAAACCACCAGCGACCGAGGCACAGCGACCGGCAGCACTCTATAATACGGTGCACGCAGTAAGCCTAACCGCGCATTGCAGCAGCCTCCAGCGCGACCCGTGTGTGTAACGCAGCATCTCTGTGTGACCTGTGTGCGGTCCCACCCGACGAAAGCGTGCGACCTCAGCTACTTCCCTCGACGATCGACAAGAAGCCTGACGAGACAAACATTCTCCATTAATGAAAATCTACAGCATCTCAGAGTAAAAAATTTTCAAAACTAAGTCCTCGAATCCTATCAATACATTCTGCAGCGATAAGATTAAATTTGTTAAGTTATTTGTTTCACAAATGAATCGACTTTCTTCACCAAACCAACAGCTACAACATCCCCTGGACCTCCTTCAACACATACTTGCCTTTAACTTTTGTGATACATTGCAAATGGGGTTCGGTGTACGACCTCTTGAACAAAATCCCACCATGCTTGAAAAATCTCTTTGCATACTTCAGATTTCCCTCTTTTAGCTCCTGCAAAATGGGAGCTCTCCAATCCTTGACCTTCTGAATTTATGCCACCCCAACTTCACTTTTCACCATGTGCAGCAACTTCACACTCCTACTCTTGCAGTTGACCAGGTTTTGCGCGATCTTTGATAATAGGTCAGCTCGGCCGTTCTTTCCTCTCGGTATCTGCAGCAGCTCGAATAAACCGAACTCTCCCTTGAATAGCTCAAACCTCATCAACATATTTCTGCAGTCTATATATATATATATATATATATATATA